TCCATCCCTTTATGACCACAGTGTACCCATCTTCTCATGGCTACTTTGAGCATGATAATGCGCCATGTCCCAAAGCACAAATCATCTTAAACTGGTTTCATGAACATGACAATGAGTTCGCTGTACTCAAATGGACTACGCAGTCACCATATCTCAATCCAATAGAGCACTGTTGGGATGTGTTGGAACGGGATATTTGCATCATGTATGTGTAACTAACAAATCTGCAGCAGCTGCGTGATGCTATCCTGTCAACAGGGACCAACATCTCTGAGGAATTTTTCCAGTACCTTGTTGAATCTATCCCACGAAGGATTAAAGCGGTTCTGAAGGCAAAAAGGGGTCCAACCCTGTACTAGTAAGTGTACCTAATAAAGTTACCTTATATGTTTTCATTGATGAATAGTTTTTTACTTCTTTACATTATTATCATTATTTTTGCATCAAACTCACTGCTGTTCGAGACAGTGAAACTGTGCTGAAAGAACAAACTAAGGGTTGGGGGGGAGGGGGGTATTTTTTGTTATTTGCAAGAGCAGACTGTATTTGTGCTTAGTGAAAGATCAGATCAAGTTTTAGGATTTATGCTGAAATACATTGCAATTCTGTAACAAATCCCTCACATACTGCTACACATCCAAAACACTGTATTAAACCAAATCAGCATTAGTAGAAAAAATGAGAGGTTTGCTGGATTATTCTAAAAGAGAAAACAGCATTAATATTAAAGAAAGATGATCTCAAAGAATATACTTCTGAAGATTTGTAGTCTCTTTATCTAGCTGAAGTTTGCTTTTAAACCAACACAAATGTATTTCATAAGTTTATAGCACCCGTAAACTTTTCAAAGAGTTCCCAAGACTTCAAAAAACCCTCTCATGCATATACATAAAACAGCCCAGAACAATCTTGTACAATATTGTTAACTAAAGTGAGCCCTACAGCCATACGAACCCATTCGAGAACTGTTAAGCATCCAAAACTTTTATTAATTTCTAAAAACATCAAAAATATCACCCAGTTTTTCCTCAGTGGGTTCGATTACTTTATACCTCCCAGTTGGGTGCATCATTTCATACCTCCCGGTTTATCTTTAGATGCCTCCATTAGACCCCTATTTACCCTGCACAATGCACTTTCAGCTTTGGAAATCATTCAAATATGGGGTTCTTTTATCTAGAGCACATTATAGGATTTCCATTCGAATGCACTTCCTCTTATCTTCTAAAGGTGGCTTTGTTTTAGAGGAGATAGACAGAAGCCTACATTGGCCCCTGTTGCAAATCTATACTATTGTTTTTTGTATTTATGTTTTTTTTTTTTTTACCATGAAAGCAGATACGGGGATGTTTGGAAATAATTGTCGAGGAAATGTGATTTTCTTTCCTTCTCTCCTGTTCCCCATCTCTCTTCTTCTCTGCTGAAATCTTCGCCACGCTTATCAAACGTTTGCAGATGAGCAGTGTGGGGGCCAGAGGCAGACGAATTATAAAATCCTAATCTTTTCTGCCTTCCATCTGTCCCAGCGTCCCTCTCTCTCTGTGCTCACTATAAAAGCATAAAGAATCTGGAGGTGATAGAGCCTGTTGCTACTGTGAGAAGCTTTTGACAGATGCACCGAAACACTCTATATTCATACATGATGTTTAACCTGTTCCATTAGTGCTGAATTAACTTATCTATTTCTATTATGTGGATTCTCTGTTTGTATAATTATTCACTTGTCTGTTCACATCGAGCTGAAGTTAATTAAAGAGAATTCCATCAGAAGCTTTTTCCACTGCTTTTTTTTTATGCAACGGGATGCCAATCAACATGGGTCCAATTACATGAGAGTTTCATTAATTCCCACTGATGATGTCCTTTCTGAGAAGAAAATGTTGAAACAGAGCAGGATCATAAAGTAAGACATCAATCCGTGTGCATTACACAGAGCGGCAGACTCGCGACACCTTATCAAAACTTGACTAAATGTATTCACGGGACCGATCAAGCCTTTCCAAAGACATTTGCATGTACATAAAAAAAAAAACGGTTATTCCCCCTCAATCCCTCGTTCCTCAGACTGATACTTGTCTTTGCATTGACCTAGCCGATCCTCTGAGGTGCTTTCAATGGATAAAAATCTCCATAAGCCTTAGAGAGCGACTAAACCACGATCTCTTGTTAATGGCGACCACTCATTAGGTAACAAATAAATGGACAACGTATTAATCCCAGATTGAGATATGGCATTGAGCAGCTTTTGAGCCTGCGCCGATTTGTGGCTTGTGGAAGAGTTAATTGATTCTGACTGCTGAGAGCAAGAGACAGAGGAAAGCTGATGGGTATCTGACTGTTGAGTAATTTCTAAAGAAAGACTTGCATTTTTCACTGGGCCTCTAAGAAGGAGCTTAAGCAGATAAACACAAAGACGGCCTATGAATAGCTTTGATTTGGCTCGGATTTCCAGAGTGGGAAACATTTCGAGGTCACTAATGACAGATATTTCTTAAGGCCCCAAAATACTTCAAACAAAATTGAAGAATGAACTAAAATGACATCATTTTAAACTAAATCCAGCCAAAACTAACTTTGTTTTGAGGGTTTTTTTTTTTTTCGCAAGTTCGAAACCAAAGTAAACTTTTTGGGAAGTTTGTTTAAGGTCATAAACGCCTTTGAGCTATCGTTATTCCATGGCAATTGCATAATCAGTAAAATAGTAGAAGGAGAGATAGCGATAGAGTTACTAACTGAGTTATACAATTATAAAAGTAGCTAATTACCAGGGATAGTAACTATTGTGTTACTTTAAAAAATATCAAATTTGTCAAATGACTATAAAATAAAAATTAAACACTGTACACTATTTTACACTATTTTAAAGTTGTTGTGGGACAATGAGAGAGACAACCATCAAATTCAACATATCATTATAAATATTAACATAAACATTCTTGCCTTTCAATGAGGGAAAAGTAGTGCTTTAGAACACCCGCACTTCTCTGCCTTTAATTGGGAAACAATGGAAATGTACTCTAAGCCAACCACGTTCACAGACATACCAATCATCATCGCTGGTTGGTTATGTGTCCCGTCCCAGCCCCAAACACACACACACCCCAGAGAAAGAGAGGTCTTATGTCTGAGAGAGATAGAGATGCTGTTCACATGAAAACCGCTTCAGTGTTCTCAATTATAGTAATGCACATTTTATTGTAACAGTAATTAATTTAATTACTCATTACTGAAAAAAGTATTGCCGTTAGTAAAGCTGTTTATTTATTGCACTGTTGTTCCCATCGCTGATAATTAGTGAACGTGTTCTGGAATTCTAGTAGATTCCTATCTCATATCTATGAAAGTGAGACAGGAAAACAACATCCAAAACGACAACACTAAGCTAGCAACATGAATACAATGGAGAGTCAAGTAGCAGCGCTGGTACAGATATATCCGCACCTTCATATTCGAGGACCGTGACACATTTACAACCCTGCCTACTGCAGTGTGGGGGTGTTGAAGTGTTCGAAAACTATACCATCACCTTGTCTTTTCTATTTTTGAATTGTATGTGGATATTAAGCCATTGTGACATCTCACAGAACTGCTTTCTTCTTTTGACCACACAAAACAACAACGCCAAGTTAGCAAAATGAATATACTGGAGGATTGAGTAGCAGCGCTGGTACAGATGTATCTGCACCTGTATGTTCAAGCAGCGTGACATATTTACAACCCTGCCTACTGCAGTGTGGGGGTGTTAGAGCGGAAAACAGTGTACCACCACCCTGTGTTTTTAAACTTATTTTTGCCCTAAAATTAAAAGCAAAGAATAACTTTTTTGAATTCTATATCAATATTAAGCTATAGTGATTAAAGCTGAAGATCTTTGTCTGAACTCGATGGGAACCGGCGGGACCCGACGAGTTTGGGTGGGTTCGGGTGTAATATCTATCCATTTAGACATGGTCGGGGCGCGCTTGCGCAGTAAATGAACAGTAAATTGATGCATTTCGATTAGCGCGAGAAAGTAATTAAATAATTTGTTACAACATTAAAATCTATCCCTGCAAAGGTGAAACAAATGAGGATGGAAAAGTCAAAAAGAGCAAATTTTGACTATGGTCAGGCCAGCCGGCAGTCCAAAAAGAAAAGCCATTTTAGCCGCAAAGGTATTTAGGCGGTCCCTCATACACTGCATATTACGGTAGAGTGCGAAATTGCAATGTATGTACAGCAAGCTGACAGAGAAGATGACGAGGCCACTCGCTACGTTAAAACTGCTGTCATGGAAAATATAACGGGTATAAACGGGCATAAACGGGTTTGGGCTTTATAAAGCTGTCAGTCAAAATGTACCTGTTGAGCTCGATTACAGCTCTTATAGTGACATCTTACAGAGCTTGGGAGCAATGTTTTTTTTTTTTTTCAGCACCACTATCACCACCAACTGGATCTCACACATCTACCTTTTAACCAATCCTTCTACTTATCTATCCATGGCTTTTATTTTTGTTGAAGTACAAATTGTTAGTTTAAGTTCTGCTATCCAAAAATCTAATTCTAGCTTCAGTATTCTTCCTTGGTTTAAATTCAAGAACTGTGATACTGTACAAAAGGTATTCTTAATTTAAGCTTGAAAGGCCATGCTAATTAGACCAGTGTTTCTCAACCATGTTCCTGGAGAATCACCTACACTGCTTGTTTTGGATGTCTCCTTTGTCTGTCACACCCATCACAGGTCTTCCGGTCTCTGTTAATGAGCTGATGATCTGAATCAGGTTTGTTTGGTTAAGGAGACTTGGAAAATGTACAGAGTTGGTGTCCTCCAGAAACGTGATTGAGAAACACTGAATTACACAAACGTTTTCATGTCAACACATGCTCATGTTTAAACTTTTCAGTTTGTAAAAATATTGCAAATTACTTTCTTGCATCTGTTCCAAGCTTCAGTATATCAAACTTAAATAGTAAATAAATCATACATTACTACAGAATGGTAAGCACAAGATCCCTACCAATGTTGCCGAGCCGTAGATGCAAAATCCCTTTCACAGTAGTGTAGACACTGATGGCTGAAGTGGCGCTGTGTTTGCTGTCGTGTCTGCTAGTAAAGCTGGCATCCTGCATGTACTCGGTAGTGATCACTTCTAGCTCATGGCTCACCTGGACAGCCGGACGGCCTTGACGTAGCATATGCTGGAGAAGCAAACAAGAATACTAATATCAAAACCGTCAATTAAACATCTTAAATCCAGCATGATTAATTATAAAAAAAAATGTGTTAACAATTAAAGCAATTCGTCATGCCTGCTGAATTGATTTGATCCATCTAACCATGAAGAACAAAAAGATAAACAAGAAGAAGCAACAACCGAGACACATGTTAGAGGCTACTGACAAATGCCACCATCTGACGACCTTGTGGTTGCGTTTGAAGCCTAAATGGACCCTTTGTTAATTCTAAAAAGGTCAGGATCCATTCTAAAGACGAACAGTCCAATTATGTTGATGTGATTGTATCTATTTCTGTCCTTGTTTTGTTTTAACCTTTATTCAGCAGCTGACATCGATGAGAGCTCTAGCCAAGAGACCTGCGGTGGTGAGATCTAACAGACGCAGGTGTCCTGAAGTATGACATGCATATTTCATAATTTGGACATGACACTCCCATCTGAGCGCACTAAATAATGGATGCCGCAGAAAGGTTTCGATGCGCAGGGTGAGTGTCTGTCTGAGTTAAACAGCTGTGTGGCTATTAATGAGGGCCGTATTTGTACCTGTGTCAAATTGCTGTGTATGGCTTGTGGGGTTATTACCAACATGGCAAGCTGAGGACTTTCCAGGCTGATGCCAAGCAGAGGAATGTGAGATGTGTTGTTTTATTGCTTTTTTCCCCCCCAGTTATGTGTAGTTAGTTGAGTTATTGTGGTGTTACTGGTGGAATTTGGCTGTATATTACATTTTGAGTAAGTTTACATTCATGACTAGGGCTGCACAAAATATCATTTTAGCATTGATATGGCAAAGTGATCATTCACAATAGTCACATCCAGTGGCGGTTCTAGTTTAAATGGCACCCTGAAACCACCCCAAACATACCCACTCCCTCAAGAAATAAAGACACTATGTTGTTGACTTTATATAGAATTTAAATATTTAAATAATTATTTTAAACACATACATTTAAAATAATAATTATAAATACATTTAAATATATTTATTTATTTTAAATAAATATAACAATTAGTTTATAACTATTATTTTATTAAGGCGACGCAATGGCACAGTAGGTAGTGCTGTCGCCTCACAGCAAGAAAGTCGTTGGGTCACTGTTTCGATACTCGGCTCAGTTGGCGTTTCTGTGAGGAGTTTGCATGTTCTCTCCTTTGGGTGCTTCGGTTTCCCCCACAGTCCAAAGACATGCGGTACAGGTGAATTGGGTAAACTAAATTGTCCGTAGTGTATGAGTGTGTGTGTGGATGTTTCCCAGAGATGGGTTGCAGCTGGAAGGGCATCCGCTGCATAAAAATGTGCTGGATAAGTTGGCACTTCATTCCGCTGTGGCGACCCCGGATTAATAAAGGGACTAAGCAGACAAGAAAATGAATGAATGATTATTTTATTATTATTATTATACAATTATTATTCTAAATAAATAACAAAAATCAATCCTAAATGTAACTGAAAAACGATGTAATATTCTAATATTCTTTTCTAATAATGTATATCCTTTTTCATGAATAATGATCATGACAGTTCAATAGAATACAAAAAATACAGTATGTTTTAGAATTATCTGTTGTCTTAAACCTGACTCATGGCCAAGAATGAATGTTATGACGTCTTTGTTACCTCTCTGACTCATTATTCCTCCTTTCTGCTTCATAGCCATGCTTTGTAACATCATCATATTATATAAACTTTAGTTTTGTCGACTTGCATATCAATACATACCGGCATGCGTATAAACAACCGGGATCAGGAGCAGGGTGTGTGAGGCTTTCTGCGCACATGCGTCAATTTCTTTTTTACCAGCGTTATTTCGGTTGCACATAAAGAGTAACAAACTTGCATGAGCAAAAGACAGCAAATGTCTCTATTCTGGGATAACCACTCAATACATTAGCATAAAGTAAATCTTATCCCAAAGCTTTTACTGTTGCACTTTTTTTGCAACGTCTCCCTTATGCCACCCCCAGCAAGATGTCACCCTGGGTGCTCACCCATATTTTCCATGCCTAAATCAGTGGTCACGTCGCAGGATTTGCTATGATGAGTTTGTTTTATAATTGGTTATTTGCATGTACTATGAGGCCTGTGACTGTATAATGATTTTAAAAGCATTCAGGTATGAGAAATTGTACTCTGGGTAACTTTAAAAATGAATAATTGCATTGAAGTATTTGTATTTTTATTAAATTGTGTTTATTTCTATAGCTCTTTTACAATGTAGATTGTGTCAAAGCAGCTTAACATAGAAGTTCTAGTAAATAGAAAGTGTGTTAGTCCAGTTTATTATTCAATTACTGTATCTGTTAGACATAGAAAACGATAAAATACAGATTTTTTTTATTGTAATATTTTCTTTATTGTATTAATCAATGCTTGTGAATTAATTGTGATATACAAGTCATCTGGTGAAATTGTATTCATCCTATCACAATATATCGCAATGTTAGATTTTTCCAATATCGTGCAGCCCTATCCATGACCTTCTTGAAAATATGTTGACAACATGTAAGGTCATGTAAATGGCAACGAATTGGCATTCTGTCAGCTTATTCAGTCAGAGCATGTCTGACTTTATGGCAGCTCTGACATCAAGATAATGTCAAAATCTTGCAAATAAACCCATAAAATTATCCTGATTTGCAATACTGGTGAAAGTTTCAAGTAGGTAAGATTTTTTTAATGTTTTTGAAAAGTTAGGCTTACCAAATATGCATTTATTAGATTAAAATATAGTGAAAAAGTATTATGCTTATTATTAATAATAATAATAATAATAATATGAAGTATTATTACAAATAAAATACCAGATTTCTGTTTTTATGTATTTTAAAATGAAATTTATTCCTGCTATGACAGCATCAATTTGTTTACTTCATGCTCTAGAAACATTTATTATTATTATTATTATTATTATTATTATTATTATTAGAACATTTAAATCAATCTGGCTGCTTAATATTTATGAGGAAACCATAAATGTGGTCAATTGAAAGTTTAAAAGAATAGCATTGATTTGAAGGAGAGATTGTTCATTGTTGGTCAATTTAAAGCATCCACAATTAATAATATATTTTATAAAGAAATATTCGGTGTCAGGGGTAGTACTTAATAGACATCGCAGCTGAAAATGTCCTCAAAAAAGAGTATTTTTGGACCTATGTATATATAGGCAGTTCTACCTTCAGCTCCACAGCAGCTGAGCCAATCAGCATTAAGGAATCACTGTCCCAGACATCAATCTGCAGTGAGTGGAGTGCCAGGTATCGCAGAAACCATCCCCGTTCACCTGGCTTTAGGAATTGTGGGTCAACTCGATACTGCAGCTGCAGACCAGGAAAACCTGAGAAAAAAAGAGAAGCATAAGAGGACAGAACAAACATGAACAGTGATAAGAGCCAGAAAAAAGGCCTGTGATTAAAGGGATGGATTTAGTGGCCATTTAAAATGAGAGTGATGTAAATCTTCCATCTCCCACAAATCTCAGGTGGGTGAGAAAGTGTGACGTCCAATTCTCTGAAGCAAGCAATCAAGGACTTTTATGTAAAAACCAAACACTCAGAGCTCAGTTTAACCAGCAAGCAAAATGTGTGGGAAATTTACATAAACATTTCTGAGCTCCATCCTTCTTGCATGCAGCACATTCTGTCTGTCATGAATATCAAACGCTGGCAGTGCCGCAGGCGCTGATGTTTTCTATATGTTCCCACATGTTTCCCCGTGTCTAAAGTGATGACTGTAATCAGTTCTGAAAATGCCTGGGTAACATTGCATTTACATTTACATTCTTTCGCAAAGCTTGAGAAGATCCTGGACCAATGCTTCATGTGAAGGTGGGCTATTTATATGGCTGGTAGTGCAGTCTTGAAGTCAGAAAAAAACAACCAAGTTTGGAAAACTTATAAGGGAGCATTATTGATGTGTTCAATGTAATGTATGGCAGATTCTGGTAGATCAGGAATAAATGAAAGTGTGAGGCAGTATTGCTGATGTACGGCAGAGATTTTGGAAGAAGACCATGAACAGTATTCTTCATTTGAGAAACAATTTAATTTAATACTTTTGTTCCGCAAAACTGATCAAATGTTTATTTATGTATGTATATGTATGTGTATATACTGTATACAGTTGAAGCCAGAATTATTAGCGCCCCTTTGAAAATATTATTATTTTTTAAGTATTTCCCAATTGATGTTTAACAAAGAAAGAAAATTTTCACAATATGTCAGATAATATTTTATTCTTCTGGAGAAAGTCTTATTTGTTTTATTTGGGCTAGAATAAAAGCAGTGTTTAATTTTTTAATAAACATTTTAAGGTCAAAATTATTAGCCCTTTTAAGTTATATATTTTTTCGATAGTCAACAGAACAATAACCTGCCTAGTTAACCTAATTACCCTAGTTAAGCCTTTAAATGTCACTTTGAGCTGTATAGAAGTGCCTTGAAAAATATCTAGTCAAATATTATTTACTGTCATCATGGTAAAGATAAAAAACTATTAGAAACATGAAAAATCAGTATTAGAAATAAGTTATTAAAATTATTGTGTGTGCGTGCGTTCGTGTGTGTGTGTGTGTGTGTGTGCGCGCGCGCGCGCGCGTGCGTGCGTGTGTGTGTGTGTGTGTGTGTGTTTGTGTGTGTTTGTGTGCATGTGTGTCTTGCAGTGCATGAGTGTATGCTTTGCTTTGCTTTTATTTTACGTGTGACTTTTTAACATTCTATAAGGGGTCTACAGATGAAAAATAGCCATTCTTGGCTAATTCTGGCATATTTTCAAGAATGTTTATTTATGTGCATTCACCCTGTAAACAAATAAACTAAACTAAAAAAATATGACCACATAGTCCTTTATAATTTTACCCCCTAAAAACACCATTATCGAAACAATATGAATTATATTCAAGTCAGAATTGTTAGCCCTCCTGAATAATTAGCCTCCTTTTATATTTTTCCCCGATTTCTGTTTAACAGAAAGAAATTGAAATTCTTTAACACATTTCTTAAAATTGTAGTTTTAATAATTGATTTCCTTCATCATTGCCATGATGGCAGTACATAATATTTTACTAGATATTTTTCAAGATACTAGTATTCAACTTAAAATTACATTACATTACATTACATTAAAGGCTTAATTAGGTTAACTAGGCAAGTTAGGGTAATTAGGTAAATAATGTTTTTCTGTAGAAAATCAAATAAAAAAATAGCTTTAGGGCGCAAATAAAATTGACCTTAAAATAGTTTCAAAAAATTAAAAACTGCTTTTATTCTAGCTGAAATAAAACAAATAAATCTGAAATGAAAACAAAAACAAAATTCACATACATATTGTTGGAGAGGTGACACAGTGGCGCAGTAGGTAGTGCTGTCACCTCAAAGCAAGAAGGTCGCTGGTTTGAACCTTGGCTCGGCTCCGATTTCCGCCACAGTCTAAAGACATGTGGTACAGGTGAATTGGGTAGGTTAAATTGTTTGTAGTGTATGAGTGTGTGTATGAATAAGTGTGTGTGTGTTTCCCAGAGATGGGTTGCGGCTGGAAGGGCATCTGCTGCGTAAAAACGTGCTGCATAAGTTGGCGGTTCATTCCGATGTGGCGACTCTGGATTAAAAAAGGGACTAAGCCGACAAGAAAATAAATGAATGAATTGTTGAAGAACAGCATTTATGTGAAATAGAACACTTTCTTGTAACATTAAAACTCATATTGTAGAAGTTTAATAAAGCTTTAAAGTGCCCATTTATGTAGTTAGTTCTGAGCATCTAGTGTAAAAGAAAAGTTGTAAAGGTCCAAGCACAAATCCCTGTGGAACGTCTTTGGAGTAAAGGCGTGTAAGACTTTCCAGCTGACTTGGTACCTACTGTCATCCAGGTGGGATATAAACCAGAAAAGCACTGACCTAGAAATGATCATTTCCACCATCTTAGAGATCAATACTTTGTTGTTTGTAGCATCAAATGCTGCCAAAAGATCCAGAACAAATACTATGGCGTTAAGTAAGGACAGTGCAGTGACACAAGATTAAGGATTTGAAACCTGATTGCTGGGTTCGAGCAGGCTGACCACAGTTAAAACGGAATGCCAATAAACACAACAAAACCCTGGATGCATTTCCAAGCAAATGTAACACTAATGCTTAATGAAGTCAAAATGTTAAACTGGATGTTGCTTTTACATTATACTACTTCAGGCAGAAAGCCAAGAATATTATTTCTTCATTGGAGAGAAGTGCAATGCTCAGCTGAGAATCTGGGAAGAGACGAAGTTATGCAACAACAAGTAATTGCACAATAACATCCTCATATCCCACAGGACACAGATGTTCCCTCCACAGACATCAAAAGGCCTTCTGCACAATATCATTATGCAGCCTGTAATCTCTATGGCACTGTATGGCTCATTGTCTTGTATAGTTGGGCCAGAGGTGGGTCTAAGGGCTAAGCTCTGTGCATTGTAGCATAATGTTTTAACGCCTTATATGTAACAGTGATCTTCAAATGGGGGTCCACAAAAAACCCTATAGGTTATAGATAATTATCATTTGATTTCAAACAAATGTTTGAGGGGGGAAATAAAATTGCATTGCTAAGTTTAAGCACAGAGAAAGAAGCTAATGCTTATACTTTACCCAACATTAAAAATGATTAGAATTAAAATACAGTGTACACAATGTCTTAATTTGCTTCATTACTCTAATAGCTAAGCAATGTAAGCATCATAAAGTGTAAATACATTCATGTGTGAATATGTATCAAGGTTGCTTGCCATTCCAAATGAAATTGAACGCCTTTTAAATTCTGATTACATATTTGGATTTTGAATGGATGGATAGCCCCGACACAAACACTATAATACAGCAGGTTTAAAACACCATTTATACAATATGTAACAGGGGTCTCTACTGCGTCTTTCTGTTCACCAAGGGGTCTTTAGACTGAAAATGCCTGAAGTCTCTCAACTGGCAGGTCTGACTGTGAGCAGAGGGCTTGCGCACTCACTCTAAATGTATTTTTTATGTATGATATTACGTCTCTTTTGAAATAAAAAGACTGAAAGCAGGCTGTTAGAGCTGATCTTCCTTTACCCCCGCATCTCTCCGTCATGCTCTCTCGCTCTATCACTCTCTCATTATCTGTCCCATTTCTTCTGTTCTCTCACTTCGCCAACCTATCTATCTTACTCTGCAACCTTTGTTCTATCTCTATCATCTATTCCTTCATTCTTCAGCTGTTTGCTGCAGGCAAATGAAAGGCTGTCTGCCTATCATGACACACACACACACACATTTATGTCATGTATGTTCCACATCATAAGATACCAAAGCAAGCTAATCAGTAAAGACCATTTCACAGTAAACGCAACAAGTGGAAAATCACAGCACAGCTAGTGTTCTCCCTCAACGTAGGAAGGTTTTTCCAGTCAAGGAGATACTTGTAACACAAATAAATCAAGGCAATGATCTTTAGACAAGATTTTCAGGATATAACATGAGCAAAAAGACCCGTTTTTGGCTGAGGAAAAGTGTACTTGAGACGCTCTTAGCTCAACGTTTTAAGGTGCTTTGAAATATCGGCCTTTGCCAGTCTGTGCAAAACTATTGATAAAAATAACTCACATCAGGGGCAGGTAATAAGTATTTTTGGCAGCTGTACGAAGCGACAGAGCCAAAACTGTTTTCTCAGCACTACCAAGTTCATCACAAAGTCACGCCGCTTCTACACTTCTCCTCAGCAGGCTGCAGCGTATGAAGACTCCTTCTTAAAAGCAATTACTGAACCTCAGCCAAGAGCCGTAAAAGTCTAATTGCTCATTTTTTAGAGCTTTATTCACTAAAACGCTGCATGTGTTTCAGTTAAAAACTGCTTTGAATTTTTACACGCACTGACTGAATTCATTAAGGCAGAAAGGTAACCATAAATTTGCCTAAGATGATTAGCAGGAAAGATTCTAAAACAGAAGTGTCAAACATATAGCCTGCAATCTGGCCTGTATGATTATTCAAGCAATAATATAAAATAATACATCAAACATTATTTTGATAATTAAATAAAGCGTATGTACTACATTTCAAATTTAAAGGCTGACCAAATTGCTAATTTAGTAGTTAAATCGTTTTTTATTTTTTAAATGTCCACGTTCCCACAACAATAAAATAAATTAGGTGTCATGGTGGTGCAGTGGGTAGCTCTATCGCCTCACAGCAAGAAGGTCGCTGGTTCGAGCCTTGGCTGGGTCAGTGGCATTTTTGTGAGGAGTTTGCATGTTCTCCCCATGTTTATGTGGGTTTCCTCCGGGTGCTCCGGTTTCCCCCACAGTCTAAAGACATGCGATACAGGTGAACTGAATAAGCTAAATTGGCTGTAGTGTGTGTGTGTGAGGTAACGCAAGACTGTATGGGTGCTTCCCAGAGTTGGGCTGCGGCTGGAAAGGTATCCGCTACGTAAAAAACATATGCTGGATAAGTTAGCAGGTTATTCCGCTGCGGCAACCCCTGATTAATAAAAGGGCTAAGCCGAAAACAATGAAAAATTTAATTAAATTAAATAAAAAAAAATAATAATAAAATAAAACAAAAAATAAAATAAAATAAAATGGTCACCATGGTGGCTCAGTGGTTAGCACTGTCGGCTCACAGCAAAAAGGTTGCTGGTTTGAGTCCCGGCTAGGCCAGGAGGAGATTCTGTGTGGATTAAGCATGTTTTCACCATTTTCACGTGGGTTTCCTCCAGGTGTTCCGGTTTACCATTTAGTCCAAAGAAATGCGCTATAGATTACTTGAATAAACTAAATTGGCCATAGTGTGTTTGAATGAGTGTATATGGGTAATGGGTTTGCGGGTGCATAAAGGGCATCTGCTGCATAAAACATATGCTTGAATAGTAGGGGGTTCATTGCGCTGTGGCGAATAAAATAAAATAAAAATAATATAAAAAAATCTTTTTTATAAAATATGTACTGGTAGTCAAAAAATATTACCTGCATTAGAATGCACCAAAAACTTTGGATAGAAGTTGTTCTTATATGTTTTTTTTATTATTATATGCCTTCTGATTTAGTTATCACACGAGTGAGAGTGCTGTTTTCTCTAATATCAGAATTAATGCAAATGAATTGTGTGTGCCAGAAGGGCTGCTGCTTTTACATTGTTTGTTTAATCATTTGAATCATTTGAAACTTAGCCATCTGGCAGATCCTGTAGTAATGAAAAGATTTATCCCGAAGACTGTCAAGATTAATAACATTCACTATGGCTTCGGACAAAGTCATTAAAAAAAAAAAAAATCACCCATAATATAGATTGATTTTTTGGTCAATATTGCGCACCCCTGAAATGAATAAGCATAAAATTTGAGAGAAAAATGAAACGTGTTCATAGTTTTCTTGTAAAATTATATATTTAGTATTGCTAATATTTTAAGCGATTCTGAGCAAAGTACTGTTTAACAAAAGTAAAGGCTTATTTACAATGCTTATTTATTTACAACAAAGCAACAAGCGCCCATTCATTTCAATGGAAAAATAGCGACTTTCGGCATTTACTGATTACATGAGCAACAGAGACCATTGGTGACCGGAACTGATGCCTGTTCATCCACTGAACAAGTCAATAATCCTTTAACTTTACGCAAATATTAAGCGACTTTCATGAGCAACAGCCAAGACAAGCATCAGTAGAGTCCATCGGATCCTCTCTTACCCCTACAGCAGCCGTGTTTTTTATTTCCACGCTGTAGACCTACACAGACCGATGTGTTCCACAAATATATAGGCGTAAGAAGAGAGCACATGTTTTTCTTTTGTTCATCCTTGTAATTAAGCATTCTATGTAGTGATGCTATTTATATTTAATGTATTTTCTCCACAATGTTTATTTTTAACAGCAAAAAAACTAATTTGCTTTCAGCAAATATCATTCATAAAAGCCCATCACAACTAAAGTGTATATGTTACTTCAACTGATTTTAATAAGTTAATCTGGTTTCAACAATATTATTAAGGTTATAGAAAGCTTAACTTAATATTTTGAGTCAGTTTTACTGATGTAATTTGAGAGAGACTAGAAAACATAATTTGATTCAACTTAATAACTTAAGGCAGCAAGGATTATTTTTACTTTGCCAGTATTGGGTTGCAGCTGGATGGGCATCGGCTGTCTAAAACATATGCTGGATAAGTTGGCGGTTCATTCCACTGTGGCGGCCCCTGATGAATAAAGGGACTAAGCCAAAGGAAAATAAATGAATGAATTAATTATTTTCACAGTGGAACAACTTCCATCTATTGCTAATAGTGTGAATGAGGCCTGATTTGTTAACTGCACAGATTCACCCCCCACTGACAAAGATCAAGAATTTGTCCCATTTCACTACTGACCTACTGTATTGTTGTTACATAGAGAAAACAATCTTGGACCTTATTCCTGAAAGATAAAAATGACCAAAGTAATAGGCTATTGTTGTTATCCATGAATTTTCAAGTGTACTTTTTACAGGACAGGCTATGAATTCATTAACCTCTACATTCGTATTATGTTTTAATTGTTTAATATTCAAATGACCAAATTCTGACTGAGGAAAGTTAAATGTTCTGCTCGGTTTTTTATTTTTATTTTATTTTATTTTGATTTATTACAGGCTAAAGTTTTTAATTCAAAACTTTAACAGATTTCATTTTTTTTTCTAATGATGTAACAAACTTGTTTTTTAAAAATCAATATTTTTCTATTCATATCTTTAGGAAATATTTTTAATACATCAAAATGTGTGATTATGATGACCATCTGACAAGCTAATTCAGCTAAAAATAGTGTTTAAAATGTCACCAAATGCAGTATTTAAACGTCATAATTAAATAGAAAATTAAGTGAATAAGGTCCACTTTTTGAGAAAAAAGAATCACCCCTTTCACCAGGCTGACTACAGGCCTACAAACTTCCAAAGCTTACACTTATGAATAGAGCAACGCTTTCTTTCATGTGACCTCATACATGAGATTCCCATCAAATATTAACCATTCACATGCTCTTTAGTATCTGACATGTCCTGGCTTTTTAAGACTCTTCTTACTTGCTTTTCATTTGATATGCTTCAACTTCATTATTGCATTACTATCAAAATCAGAAAGGTTTGAGTTATTAGTTACCATAACTTCGTTTTTACTAATACCTTTAATTAACTAGTAACTAATTACAAGGGCCACACGGAATCTGAGTGCGCAGAATTCCACAGATTTCCAGCATATAATTGATTCTGCTTATTTACTTGTGTGAATGTGTGTATATTCATTCAGTTTTTAAATTAATTACAGTAATATTATTGACTAATAAGAAAATCTATATGTGAATTATTTACAATACAGTTTGTAAAGTAATATTTTCTGTTTTTTTAGTAGATCTATTATATGAGAGACTTTCTTTGTTTACCAAATAAAGTGGATCTAATTGGATTTGCATTGCAAACATTAAATAAAAGACAAAAATGTATTACTTTTTATGTAATATATTAAGGTTTTTGTTATAATACTGCCAAAATAATTCAACATAAATCCGCAGATTTTTAACACAATTCTGCGCAGAAATAGCAAAAAATATCTGCAGATTCAGTCTAGCCCTACTAATTACTAATAACTTTGACAGTTAAAGTTATTATATAAAAACATAGGTAACCTGCAGTTATATAGGTGATGTCTATGTGTACATGTTCAATGAAGTGTGTGTGTGTATTAAGTTTATGTGTTTTCCTTAAAGTCTTTGGATGGTTGGCATCCTCTCTTCACAGGTCTGGAATCTCATCAACTTTCAGTTAAGTTTACATCAAACATTGAATAAAAATGCACTTCAAAGCACTTCACGGGACTGTTAAGCATTCTCAGAGTTTCTTACCAGAGCTAAGTGTGCCGTCTTTGTTGAGCAGAGAAAGCACACAAGGGGAATCAGAGCTGCCTTTGAACTTGCTGGTCTTCTCCTGGTCAAGCAGCTTCAGCCGCTGGGTGGTGACAGGAGGAAAGCGGTAAAGCTGGAAGGTGAAATGGACAGAGCTCGGCCAGTCTGAATTCACACCAGATTGAGGGACCCTTGACACAAAAACACAACTGATTGGAAATGCGAAGCGCCATATTATTGAAAAGCAATGATGACCTGTGTTTAGATGACATTGTGAACGCTGCAGGTGATTGGAAAGAAATATTATGTGAGGGTTCAGTCTAAATCACTCTATTATTAGGAGTCATTTGATGGCGCTGTGTTATGAGGAATCAATCCGAGTGACTCCAGAATGACAGTGAGTGTCAGTGACTCGATGATAAACAGCCGGTCTGAGTGACTCCTTCATAAAGAGCCAGTATCAGTGATGCAGTGATGGAGAGTCGGTTCAAGGCACTTAATGATGAAGAATCTGTCACAACATGACAAAGTCCTTCCAACCAGATCAATAGTAACCGGTTTACAGCATATTTGTAATAGCTAGAGGTCAAATCACGAGGAAACAAACATTGCTTGATTACTTGAAATGTTTTTATTATTATTATTATTATTATTATTATTATTATTATAATAAAGACATACAGTAAGATGATAAACTTCCTCCCATTTTTTAATATTTGCTTCAAATTTGCTTCATACTTTTAATATATAGCTAAATAAATGTGTACTTTTTATGGCAAACAAGACAACTGTGTACCTTATAATAAAATGGAATAAAAAATGAATGATAGAATAAAATTAAAATATATTTTTTATTGAATTCGTTAAAATCACATTGAATATTTTATATTAAAATAAAATAAATGTGATGAATTATAAATGTTCTTTAATTTAAAATTCAAGTAATTATTCTACATTACACTAAATCAAAACTATTAATAAACGAATAAGTAAATAATTTAAAAATACAAATAAAATAAGCAGGATAAATGTATAACCCTAAACCTAACATGCCATCCTTAACCACTCTATAATAACACTATCTAACAAGCTCTAACACAATCATTAATAAAGTTAATGGCAGACAACCATCTCACCGAAACTGCTCACGTAATTAAAAACAATAAAACAATATCCTTGTGCCATATGCTGAAATAATAACTCTTAAAGGTCTCTCGGAGTCATAAAGAGCAGGTAATTCATAAAACAAACACTTACATTTAATCATGTGGAAATTTAGCATTTTTTGAAAGCAAAATCAATAACTCGCAAATTCATTGCACTGTAGCTTTCTCACTGAAGGGAAAAATCAATAAAAAAATGAAGTTATTTGTAATTTGGTAAGGCAGGACTTTTTTTTTTTTTTGGAGAGAAACAGCTTCCTTAAAACATGATATTTTAAATCAATTTAATTATCCAGTAATGGGCCTCTGAATTTTCTGTAAGCAATAATCATCCATCACTGAGCTAACTGCTGAAGAAACACCTTCCAAAAATAAAATTAAATTAAATTAACTTAAATTAAATAAAAAAACATAAAATTCGGCTTAGTCCCTTTATTAATTAGAGGTTGCCACAGCGGAATGGACTGCCAACTTATTCAGCATATGTTTTATGAAGTGGAAGCTCTACCATGTGCAACCCAACACTGGGACACACCAATACACATTCATCCATACACATACACTACGGCCAATTTAGCTTATTCAATTAACTTATAGTGCATGTCTTTGGACTGTGGGGAAACCGGATTACCCGAAGGAAACACACGCGAACATGGGAAGAACATGCAAAATTCTCACAGTAATGCCAACTGACCCAGCCAAGGGCTTGAACCAGTGACCTTCTTGCTGTGATGCGATCGTGCTACCTAAATAAGATTAAATTAAATTAAATTAAAATCTAATCAAATAAAATAAATTAAAATAAAATATTTATTTTTTTTACATTTCATTCGGCTTAGTCTCGATTTCAGAGATCGCCACAGCGGAATGAACCACCAACTTTTCCAGCATATGTTTTGCATAGTGGATGTCTTTCCGGCCACAACCCAGTATTAGTAAACCCATACACAATCAGGAAACCCACGCCCACATTTTGGAGAACAAACTCCACACAGAAATGCCAACTGGCCCAGCCGGGACTCAAACCTGCGACCTTCTCGCTGTGAGCCAACAATGCTAACAACTGAGCCCCCGTGCCACAACATAAAATAAATAAAAGTTTTATTTTAAATAATGAACATATCTATTTTGTCTTCTATTTTGCCTTCTAAACAAAATAGTGGGAAAAAAACTAATAAAACACCTTACTTCAAAATAAAATAAAATAAAATTTAAATTAACTTAAATATTTATTTTGTCACTTCTATGACAAACAAAAAAGTGCAAAAAAGAAAGTAAGAATGAGCAAAAGAAAGTAAAAAGGAACTACTGAATAAACACCTTCCTTCAAAAAAAATTATCAAAAATTTTTTACACAAACTAAAATTATGATTTTGTTACTTGTCACCATGAGAAACAAAAAAAGCAAAGAAAGAAAGAAAGAAAGAAAGAAAGAAAGAAAGAAAGAAAGAAAGAAAGAAAGAAAGAAAGAAAGAAAGAAAGAAAGAAAGAAAGAAAGAAAGAAAGAAAGAAAGAAGAATTGCAGTGCCGATGGGTTCAGTCATTCAAACTTGAACTGAACCCGTTTAAAAAGCAAAAAGCTGGGTTTGGACTCTCAGACTGCCAACACACGAACAAGAGGACAAATAAAAGATATAAATAATTGAATGCAAGGATATAAATGAATTAATCAAAGTCCTTGGTGACATTTGAGAGCTGACAGGGCAATGTGAAGAGTTGGTCTCCATCCGCAGCAGGATGAATTAAAACGGAGGGAAAGATTAGGGAGGGATGATTGCTTTCTTTTCTCTTTGTGAGGAAGATTAGCAATCAATCACTCAGAATTAGATAAGGATAGAAACTATTTAGAGTGCGGACAATTGGCAAAGCCACTGAGCGCATTCACATCGCAATCCGAGAGTTTAAGTGCTGTTCACTCAAAATGTCACGTCTGACCTCAGAGCCAATCAAATCACTTGAATTCCTCAATTAAACCAACAGGTCTTACGGCGACGCAAGGGTTCCACATCGATATTCATCTGGTAAACAATGGGATGGGACAGCTGTGCATGATGAGTGGAAAACTTTCTAGGCGTAAATGCAGAAACTTAACTACATAATTTAGAAGGGAGATTTGTTTAGCAGATAATCTAAACAGGTCTACTTTTATAAAACCAAAAATATTTTCAGGTTATTTCTGACTGCCTTACAAGGTTAAGGCAAGGAAGGCAAGGCAAGGCAAGTTTATTTATATAGCACATTTCATACACAATGGCAATTCAAAGTGCTTTACATAAACAAGAATAAAAGAAACAAGTAAAATAAAAGTAAAAACAAATAATAAAAATGCATAAAAACAAAACAAAACATAAAAACAGGTAAAATGTGATATGAAAGAATGAAGAAGAAGAGAAAAACATGATAGTGCAATCTGTCGGACGCAGCACAGTGCTCATTCAGTAAAGGCACAGCTAAACAGATGTGTTTTCAGTCTTGATTTGAATGTGCCTAATGTTGGAGCACATCTGATCATTTCTGGAAGCTGATTCCAGCAGCGAGGGGCATAGTGGCTAAAAGCTGATTCACCCTGCTTTGACTGAACTCTTGGAACTTCTAGTTTATATGATCCTAAAGATCTGAGTGATCTGTTGGGTTTGTATTCAGTGAGCATATCTGTAATGTATTTAGGTCCTAGGCCATTTAGTGATTTATAGACCAGTAATAATACTTTAAAATCTATTCTGAATGTAACTGGCAGCCAGTGTAAAGACCTGAGGACAGGTGTGATGTGCTCTGATTTTCTGGTTCTGGTTAGAATTCTGGCTGCAGCGTTCTGGATGAGCTGCAACTGTCTGACTGTCTTTTTAGGAAGACCAGTGAGGAGTCCATTACAGTAATCCACCCTGCTGCTGATAAAAGCATAAACAAGTTTCTCTAAGTCTTCACTAGAAACAAAGCATCTGATTCTTGCTATGTTTTTGAGATGATAGTATGCTGATTTACTGACTGCTTTGACATGACTGTTGAAACTCAGATCTGACTCCAGAGTCACACCAAGATTCTTGACCTTATTTTTTGTCGTTTGACCTTTAGTGCCAAGGTACGCATTTACCTTGAGAACCTCATCTTTGTTTCCAAACACAATAATTTCAGTTTTCTCTTTGTTTAACTGAAGAAAGTTTTGGCACATCCAATTGCTCATTTCATCAATGCATTGGCAGAGGGTGTCAATGGGGCTGTAGTCATTAGGCAGTAAGGCTAGGTAGATCTGAGTGTCATCAGCATAGCTGTGGTAGGAGATTTGGTTCTTTCTCATTATTTGGCTTAGAGGGAGCATGTAAAGGTTGAACAGGAGAGGTGCCAGAATCGAGCCTTGTGGGACTCCACACGTCATGGGTGTCCACCTCGACCTATGGTCACCTATACTGACATGGTAACCTCTACCTTCTAGGTAAGATCTAAACCATTTGAGGACCGTGCCAGACAACCCAACCCAGTTTTCCAGCCTATCCAGAAGTATGCTGTGATCGACAGTGTCAAATGCAGCACTGAGATCCAACAATACCAGCACTGTTATTTTACCTGAATCTGTATTTAGGCGTATATCATTGATTATCTTTATAAGAGCGCTCTCTGTACTGTGATGTGCTCTGAACCCCGATTGAAAATTGTCTAAACACCCCCTGAAGTTTAAGAACTTGTTAACCTGGTTAAAAACAACTTTTTCAATGATTTTGCCAATGAAAGGGAGATTTGAGATTGGCCTGTAATTGCTCAATAGGGTGTTATCCAGGTTGCTCTTCTTCAAGAGGGGTTTAACAACTGCAGTTCTAAGTGAGGTTGGAAAAATCCCTGATAGAAGTGAAGCATTTACCACTTTTAGAAGATCCATTTCTAAACAGGTAAACACCGTTTTGAAGAATGATGTGGGAAGCGTGTCAAGACTGCAGGTTGATGTTTTCATAACTTGCACAGTCTCTTCTAAGATTTTACCGTTAATTGCCATGAAATCAGACATAATGTCTGATTTCTTAAGTTGTGGTTGAGCT